TTGGCCTCAGAATCCTCTCAGACAGCTTTCTCCAATGTGCCACATTAAATAGTCCTGAACTGAGAAGACAAACTCGCCCTGGCTGCCATGATAAGCACAAAGAGTGATAAACCCACATAATTAAAGTCTGCCACTGCAATAACGTAGCAGCAGAGACAGCTGGAGTCTAGCCCTGAGCCTGGGTCCATACTTGGGCTTTACTTGTTTTCATTCAAACTTATTTTGGAGAGATTCAGCCCAAGCACTGCTGGGTGCCAGGAGGGAGGGGAAAATGCCATCTGGGCATGGTGGAGTGGAGGAGCCAGGGCTGTTGTTCCCTTCCTGGCTGTAACACAGAGAAATCTTTAGCAGAAGCAAGTACCCTCAAAACCATTTTGAAGAGGAGCTGACCTTATAGAAAAGTACATGGTTCATAAGGAGCCATTTCCCCTTGAGGTACTGCACCATTGTCCTTAGGACCATGGTCAAGGAGAATAGGGACTGGTCAGGGATCAGTTTCACTGCTCCTAAATATATATAACACTAGAAAAAAGTTAGCTTTTTCCAATCTGGGCTCCCAGCCTTCCTCTTCATGCTGGACTTTGCTCCACCCCAATGAGACCTGGAGGGTTGGTGCCCCCTCATCCACCACATCTCACCCAGGGGAACAGGGGAGACCCTGGGACATGTGTGCTGGGGATCCTAAGCACAGCTTGTGGGGCTGTAGAAAAGCCCTTTGCAGACTGTCGTCCTCCAGGTCAGTCTCAGGGCTCTGAGCCCAAGCCCCCACATCCTGCCAGCAATTGCAGCCAGTTGTTAGCAGTCCCCACTTGCCTCAAAGCTCAGTCATCCAGCCAACTTCAATCCATTTACTGCAGTGCTAATTATCTTTCCTCACTTTCATTTCTTAACCAAAGTGTCCCCATGAACAAAATTAAGCATCACACAGGCTTCTCTGACATAAATTCTGCTGTCTTTAGCAACCACACAGTTGCTACAGAAGGTGTGGGCTGACCAGTCTTCCTTTTCTAACCCATTGTTGTGGGTTTTTAACCCTGCCCCAGCTGATGCCTGAGAAGGTTCCCCATGGCTTTAATGGGCTGTCCCTGCTAGGCTGTGGGGAAGGGCAGTGTGCATTGCACCTCTGGCCTTCCCCTCACCCTCACAGGACAGTGGATTTCAGACAGAACAACATGCAGTCCTTCACTAGAGATGCCCTTTGTCCCTCTAGCTCTAGTGTTTTCCCTCCCCGTGTGCTTAAGGTGGGGAGAGGCAGGGTACAAGGACCCCATCACTTCCCTGCACATGGCCTCATCCCTCCAGGGCTGTTGGGTTTGCTGTGACATAGAGGAGACTGTCCCTGGTGCAGGTGACAGTCACAGTGCACCACAGCTGACTCAGCCTGAGCATCCAGAGCTGCACCTGAGCTCCTCCATCCAGGCCCTTGGCTGGGCTGTGCTCCCCACGCTGCCTCTTCCCAGCCTCCCTGCACTGCATGGCTGCCTGATTGCTGTGAGAATCCTGGCTCTTGGGGAAGCCACTGAGGCAGGAAGATGGGCTGCCTCTGGTATGGGGCTAAAAACTGAGCCCAGAGGCATCCCTGAGGAGCAGAATCAAATTCTACATATATGCACTAGGGGCTGGGCTAGAAAACATTCAGAGGTCCTGTCCAACCTGAACTATTCCATGATTCTGTGATTTCTTGCTGTCTGCCTCCCTGACTATCTCGTGCTGCCCATCATCATCTGTAGGCACTATGTGTTGGCTTTTCACCACCACCACTAGCCTGGGGTAAGGGGAATAAATGAAATATGATTTGAAAAGCAACCTAAGCTCAAACCCTGCACAGTTTTCTGACATCTACATTTTCCTGCTTTCCCCCTCCCCTAACAAAGGCTGGGATCTTGGTGGGAAAGGCTGCTGTGCTGCAGCCCAAACTTCCCCCTCACCCAGCCCTAGACAGGGACTGCTCACAAGGCTCACAAGGGCTTTGCCAAATTCACACTGTATGCCTTTTCCCCATCCCATGGCTGTGTGAAGGAAGGGAAAAACAGCCCTTCCCTTGAAACCATCTTCTCTTGAAAAGGGGCGGCAAAAAAATCTGCTGGCACACTCTGGAGCCATTTATCATGGCTACAAATATACAAGGCAATTGCTGTAAAACTTGAGTTTGGCTCTCAAGGAAAAAAAACCCACCCCATGCTTGTTGCAAACAATCACAGCACAAAAAAAAAAGCCTTACAAGGCTGGGGCAGCCTCATAGATGGATTGCTTTTTAATCCCCAAAGCTATGGTGATAAATCTTTTCACTGGAAGCTCTGGAGATACTGTGTCACTTAGGGCATGCAGCAACTGGGGGGAAAACAGTTCCAGGAGCTGAGCAGGCACAGGGGAGCAGGAAGGCTCTCCTGCAGCCAGGAGCAGGTGATTATGCAGGAGCTGGCAGCTGGACAGAAGCTGCTGTAAGTCTAGAGGACAGATGGACAAGTTTTGGAGAACAGCTCTTTGGAAACAAAGTGTTTGGAGAGGAGATGGTGGCATGGAGCCCAACCTGACCACGTGCTCCATATTGCAGGGACAGAGAGATGCTTCTCCCAGCTCCGAGGAAAGACACGGAGCAATAGCATCCACACATTCCCTGCATCTCCTGGTCCCTCAATTTACCTCTACTCTGACCCATCTGGGGTCTCTTGGGCTCTGAAATATTTATTTGACTCCTAGGCAGTGTTTTGGAGTGCTCCTTCTGCCCAACTATGCTGAATCAACGTTCAAGCCATTCCCCGGGCCACTTACATGGGTGGGAGCAGTGGGAACAACTTGCCCGTCCTTGCCTTCTGCATTTCCCCCTCCCACAAGGGCCTTTGCTTCTATACCACCTCCCTGGCAGGAACAATTCCTCTAATGTATACTGGGAGGGTGGCAGGGGCCAGGCTGATCCTGAGGGCTTAGGGCAGTGGGGATCATCATGTTCTTGGAGTAAACAGCTCTGTAAAATTCCCTTCCTGGGGGCTGCAATGAGCCTGAGGCAGGAAGAAGTCATCAACTACTGCCTTCCCAGTGGTGGAGATGTGTAAAATGCTCTTCATGAAACCATTCTCCCTGAGGAGATCAGTTCCTTTTTTATTAGGTTTCATGCAGATTTTACTATTAATTAGAGGATTGAAAGACTTGCCCAGAAGCCTTTGATCCCAGCATCTCTCAGGAGCCCAGCTGGCATGTGGTACCCGGGAAGTCTCCACTTCTGTTCTGTTCCATGAGTTGGGGAAAGCTTGCCCATACATCTCCACCCAGGAGCTGCCACCAGCTGTGCTGCAACTACATCTCTGCCAAGCTTTTGGGATGCTTTCCAGGGTGATCCTGGCCCAGCTGTGCATGTGGAGTGGGTGGTGGGGCAGCCCCAGCATCATCACCCAATATATCAGGGCTTGAGCTGCATATTCCCCTCAAGCATCTCAGAGAGGAGAATTTGGGATCATCAAGGAGGATGAGGAGTCCCAGGTCAAGAGATGTCTGGGCAGCTGGGAATGCAAGGCTGGATAAAGGCAAAGCCAGTGCCTCACCTTTCTGGCTGTTCTGGACTCCATCCCAGCCATGCTGCAACTGAGGATCCTGCAAAAAACCCCTGGGAACACACACTCTGAAACTGACCACGGTGCTTGAGCAGCAGCAGCCACAGCTGTATCCCTGCACAGCCTGGCTGTTCAGGAGCAGCTGGACAAGTTTGCCCGATGTGCAAGGGACCCCAAAGCTCCACATGGGCATCTGTCACTACATTATAAATACTATAAATACTATCGACTGCCTATTAAAAAGCCATTCCCTGGAGATTTGTGGCTGGGGAAGCAGCTGGGTGAAGTGAGATGGGGCAGTAATGGCCATCAAGGAGGCATCAGTCACATCCACCCACGCAGCAGCAACAAGGGGCCCCACATGGCTGCCAGGGTGCTGTCCCCTGCCAGGACCATCACCGACAGGAGAGAGAGAGAAGACAAAATAAACGGATCTCAGTGCCCTCAGCCACACTGACATCCTCCAGAGAGAGGCTGTAAGCAGTCGGCAGGACCCTGAAACACAAAGTTACTGCAGCCCAGTGCCCACTCTCACCCAGCAGGACCCCTCAAGGGCCAAGGAATGGCTTTGTCCCTGGCAGATCTGGCTGCGGGATGGGGAGCAGAGGAAGCCAGCTGCACTCCCTCTGAACTAAGGACTGGGTAGATGGGAACAGGAGGGAGTGTACATGCCTCCCAACAGGAGGGAGTGTGCTGCCTCTTCTTGGTCCCTGGCCTGGCTGTGGTCCCGTGGAATGTGCTTAGGAGGGGCTGGAAGCAGAGCAGCAGCTGCCACTGCTCTGCCTGGGGCTTTCTCATCCAGTATTTCTGCTCAAGCAAGCCCCAGGCTAGCCCACACTGACCAGAGGCACAGCCATGTGATGCTGAGCCAGGGGAGCCTCCAGAGCTGGCCGTGAGGGAGCTGGGTTGAGTAAGTAGTGCAAAACAAGAGCTCAAACTGCTTGGGCGGTCCCTCAGCTCCCATTTCAGATCCTCAATATTTCATTCTGCCGGACCTGTACACAGGGAAGTCAGCAGCATTGATCTGAGACAGGAAATCGATGGGTCCTTCCAGCCTGGGAGAGCATGACCAGCCAGCCCACGCTCCCTGGCATTTTTGTGACATTTTCTAAGCCGTGTGTCTAGGGAAGGACTGATGGCCACGGCTCCAGAGGCAACTGTCCCTCTGCAAAGGCCCCAGCCCCAGAGAGACCAGGAAGGGTGCAGGCATCCCACTTGTGCCCTCCCTGCTGTGCCCTCAGTGTCCCTGGACCTGCACACCCACCTCAGCAGCAGAGCCCCCACGGAGATCTGGTGAAACACCCCTGGTGTCCATCAACCTGGCACGTGGCCCATCCATCACCCACCCAGAAGCGTGGCCTGCGTTCAGTCCCATGCTGGGAGCAGAGCTGGGGGACACAAGCAGGACACAAATCAGGCCGGTGGCTTTTTTTAATTCTCAATGAGGCTCAGCCCATGCAGGGCAGGGATGGAGGATGGCTCCCCACCTTCCCCACAAGTTCAGGTGACCACGGTGGGCAGAGGAAGAAGAGATTGGCACCCACCACATGATGGTCAGAGAGAGGAGAGAGGAGCATATTCATGTGACACAGACAGTCATGGAGCTCTGCTTTGGCATTACAAACAGCTTGGCAATCCCTTTGTCCCATATTTTCCTCCCATGGACTCCAGCTCTGGAGGGAGCAGCCATGCTCCTTCTCTTGCCCTCAGAGGGTTGGGAATGCAGGGCATGAGAAAGGTTGGGAGCAAGGAGCTGTACCAGCACCCTGCAGCCAGGCACCAGCTGCCACCACTGAAGAGACATGCCAGAAAATCAGGGTCACATTTATGCCAGACAGCCCTGAAGAGGTCTCAAGGGAGAAGGCACCCACAGACCATTTTTTCCCCATGGGATTTTTCCACAGTCCCACGCAAACCTCTCAACACCCTCCTGGGTCTCAGCCCAGCTGCAAACACTTCTGGGAGCACCCATCCATTCCTGTGTCCCAAAGCAGCCCAGGATGCCTAAGCCCCCAGCTCCAGTACCTGCGGGTTCACCCCACTGGGCCAGGAGGGATGGAATATTTTTAGGGATTGCTGACATATCCCTGACATAGAAGTCAGCTGTCCCCACAACACAAGGGATGCCCTGGCCTTGGCCAGGCCTGGTGCTGCATCCAGGGCACAGCAAGGCCACTGCCACCCTGTCCCTGGAGCAGTGCTGCTGATACAACCAGCCTTTCCATCCCAGTGGGACAGCACAGAGAGGCTGGGATTCCTCCATCACTCCTGCCCTGCTCCCCACCACAGGATAAGTGCCACAGTCAGATGGATGCTGGTGGCGAGGAAAGCTGGTCCCAGAGTCCTTCCCTATCCTCTCTTCAGCAGAGGGATATTGTGTGGGTGGTGGCCTGGCCCCTCTCCATGTCCTCCAGCTCGAACTCCTCGGCGTCAGAGAGGGGCAGCCCGCTGGTGCCGGGCACGGGCTCGCACTCGGTGCTGCGGGTGGTGGTGCGGGTGACGCTGGGCGAGTACTTCCGTGCCCACGGCGGGCGGTGGCCGGGGCGGCACATCACCTCCTTGAACATCTCCCGGAAGCGGGTGGACATCAGGTTGTAGAGGATGGGGTTGGCAGCCGAGCTCAGGTAGAAGAAGATGCCTGAGATGATGTGGACATACTGGAACATGTGGAGCATGTTGCTGGTCCAGGTGGAGACGAAACTCCAGACGAGGCGGTCAGTGTGGAAGGGAGCCCAGCAGATCCCAAACACCACCACCAGCACAACTGTGAGGAGACAAGGACCTGTTGTTACTGAGGGGACGGGGATTACCAACCCCACAGAGATCTCCAGTCCCTGGCCAAGCACTGCCCCATTTCATCTTTGGCCATAGCAAAGAAGCACGAGAGAGAGGAAAAAGGAGAGGGTAAAGGTCCCCTCAGTGCCTTCTGGGCTTGTCATGGCAGGGCTGGAGGTCTGGACAGGATCTCCTCCCTCCATCTCCTGCTGGTGCTGGTCAGGCCCTTCTGTGCTGCACTTCACCACTCATTGGCAGGCAGCTGGCCCTGTCACAGCCATGCAGCACAGCTGGGGGACTCACTCCCCTATTGGCATCCAGCCTCCATAAACCTGCCACCATCACCAGCAAAGTCCAAGGAGCACAAGCTGTTTGAGACCTTTCCTTGTGCTCTGGTTTTGATCTTTTTTTGTTCTTGTTTTATAACCCAGCTCTGCTGATGGAAAGGGAAGGGTGTACATACCTGTACATTTATGTACAGGTAGTCCTGGGATCCTCTGCCATACCCATGCAACAATGCATCTCTGTGGCACGTGGGGACAGGTCCCCCCTTTGTGCCCAGCCCAAGTGCCTTGGACAGCAGAGTTACCACTTGTCTGGGAGATGGAGGGGAAGCAGTCCTCACCCTGCTGTCGGACGGGGCTGGGCAATCTGCCATCGCCGTGCCATCACGGGACTGGGAGCGTGTGGAGGTCAGCGTGCCGGGGACAGGCAGCTACCCAAGGGCAGCCAGCTCCCAGTCCTGGGAAGGGGGCCAGAGGCTCTGGAACCATGCTGGGGAGGGGAACAAGAGTGAAGAGGAGTGGGAAAGAGGGTGTTTCAATCCAGCCTTGGGTCATTGCCCCATTAGTCACAGAGACTGTGGGGCTGGGCAGAAGTGCTGCCCTCTGGGAAATCCCACCACTGCCACCAGCATTTGAGGTCTGGGTGGAGGGATGGGGAGTGGGTTCCCCCATCCCAAACCACCTCCTTTCTCTTTCTCACCCTGCACTTCCCTCAAGGAGGGGTGTATGGCTTGGAGGGAGCTGGCACAAGCAATCCTTACTGCTGGACTGGAATCAGCAGATCTACCTTTGCCCCAACACCCTGCAAGCCAGACCCACAGCCTTCCTCTGGCATGACCCAGCCTTGGTGCTCTGGACTGTCCATGACTCAGTTTCCCCCAGCACCCTCCCAACACAGCCTTGGGAGAAACTCCCTGGCTCTGCCATCCCCAGCACCGACTCACACAGCATCTTTGTGACCTGCCTCCTCTTGACTTTCTTCTGCACCCGGGTGTTGTGGCAGCTGCGGCTGCTGCCAGTCTTGGCTCCCAAGGCTTCCAGCATCTTTTCTTTCTTGAGCTGCAGGCCAATAAGAAGGTAGAGGACACTGATGGTCCCCATGGGCAGGAAGAAGAAGACAATGGTGGTGACCTGGATGATGAGATTATAGGTCAAGCGTGGTTTCACCAGGGTGCAGATCTCTGAATCGGGCACCCGTCCCCGTCCCGGCACATAGAGAGGCTGCAGCCCGTGGAGGCTGGTATTGGGGATGGAGCAGACGACCGACAAGACCCAGATGGTGACAATGACCCTCTTGGCGTGGTTCCTGGTCACCACGTACTTGGCTTTGAGCGGGTGCACCACAGCGATGTAGCGCTCCACGCTCAGGGCTGTGACGTTGAGGATGGAGGCGAAGCAGACGGCCTCGAACAGCAGCGTCTTGAAATAGCAGCCGCTGGCCCCCAGCAGGAAGGGGTAGTTGCTCCACATGTCGTACAGCTCCAGTGGCATCCCCAGCAGCAGCACCAGCAGGTCGGACACGGCCAGGCTGAACAGGTAGTAGTTGGTGGGTGTTCTCATGAACCGGTGCCGGAGGATGACGATGCAGGTGAGTGTGTTGCCCACAGCCCCCACCAAGAAGATCAGCAGGTAAATGACACACACTGGGACAAAGAAGTTGGACCGTCGAGGTCCCAGGTACTTATCCCGCAGCTGCTCCTCTGTCAGGTTGGCATCCTTAGGGTCGAACAAGGTCTCTGGGTGAGTCCTGTTGCTGAGATCAGGGCTGATGGGCTCCACAGAGAAGTCTTGCTGGGGCAGGGGGAACTCGGAACTGGAGCAGTTGACATAGGGATTCATGACTGAGGAGAGATGGAGAGGTTTGCAGGATGCTTTCCCAACTTCTCCGTTCCCCCTGCTCCCACTCTCCCTCTCCCCGCTGGTGTCACGGTGCCGTGATTCTGCTGATCACCAGGGCTCTGCACTCTCGCACCCATCCTGCCCAGACACAGCCTTTCCCTTGGGAAACCACACAAAACCTCCACCTAAACTCCCTCAGGTTTTCCAAGTGCTTTTTACCCCATTTCCCTTCTGCAAACAACCCTGGCAGCTCCCCAGTCCACCTTTGCCCCTTTGCCCCATCAGGGAATGTCAGCAGGGCTGTCCTCTTTTCCTGCTCTGTAAGCAGAGCAAGATACAGCCCCAAAAAGCCAGCCCCAAAAATCTCTCCTGGCCGCAGTTCTACCGGATATGTAGAACGGCTGGCAGGGCAACCAATAAAACAGCCAGAGGGAAAATTGATTTTCTAACATGATAAGGACTTACGGCTTGTTGGGAAACTCCAGATGAAGGCTGAGGTCCCACCACCCCTGCGCCGGACAGGGTCAGGGCTGGGGAGGGAGCGTGGGAGGGGATGGAGACTTCACTGCCTTAAGAGGCAGGCGAATGAAATCCTGCCGCTGCTTTCCCCTCGCAGCTCAGCTCGGAGAAGCCGCCTGCCCTTCTCCACCTTCTCCCGCTTGTCCGCTGTCAGCTGAGAGGCTGAGGGGCTGTGCCAGGGGCTTCTCTTCCCACCGCTGGCCAAACAAATCGCGGTGCCGAGACCCTGCCCCTGCCAGGGGCTGGCTCCTTATCTGCAAAGCAGCACCTCCAAAAAGCTGTCCTTCAGAGAGAGGAAATAACGTTAAGGTAATGAACTTCATTGACTCTGAGAGTCCCAGGGGAGGGCGGCACAGGCGTCTCCTGCCCCTCCGGCAGCCTTCGCAACGTCGGCATTTGTCATTTGCGTGGTGTCGGTGCTGAGTGAAGCATCCATCCCGGCACCGGCCGGCCCGGGAGCCTCTGCAGCACCCGCTTGTCCGGCCTCAGCTCGGGGAAACGCGCAGGGATCCAGCTGCTTCCTGAGGTCTCCCACTTCCAGATATGTGACAATCGCCGGGCAGCCCGAATCACTGCCCCGGGATGCGGGTGGCTCCAGCCGGCTCCCTTCACACTTGGGTGCGAGGAACTTGCTGCGCTCGCAGCATCGCCCCGTGCTCGGCGTCCGGCTCGGCTCCCTCCCCGTGCCCGCTGTCTGTGTGTGTCTGTCTGTCTGTCTGTCCGCCCGTCCTCCGCTGACATCCCGTGCCAGGAACGCTCCTGCTTTGCCGCCGATCAGAGCCGCGCACACACAGAGCACTCACGGCTCCTGAGCCCCGCGGACGCGTGTCAAGGCTCCGTGTCCCCGCTGTGCCCGCGGCTCCTCTCTCCGCCCGGAGCCGGAGAATCCCACGGGCTCCTGCTCCCCCTGCGGCGGCCGAGGGCTGCGGGCTGGGGGCTGCGGGTCTGCATCCCGCCCCAGCCCCGCAGGTGCGGAGGAGGGGCCGGGGGATGCGGGGAGCGCATCGTTCCGCCGGTGCGACACCCGTGGGCATTGCCACCCCTCGGGACGGGGAGGCAGCCCTGGGCACAGGGACACGCGCCGGTCCCTTCATCCCCTCCGGGGGTGGCAGGGAGCAGGTGGACAGGTCCCACCCAGGGATGACACCTTGAAGGGCTCTGGCATCCCGGGACTTACCTCCTTCTGCTTGTCCCAGCACCATCCCACCCTGCACCGAGGCTGAGCTGAAAGAGCCCCAGCAGGGCTGAATTCAAACAGGCAGTACAGGGATCTTGGGGCAGAAACCTGGAGAGACCTGCCAGGAGAGACCTGCTGCCAGCCCCACGCCCCCACTCCCACGAGGGCTGAGCCCCAGCACAGCTCACTGCTCTGCCGAGCCTGGTGCTTGTGGCCAGGATGTGAGGAGCTACCTGGATCTGGTGGCCTCCAGCACCAGGACACATCCCCTGGGGTCCTGCATGGCCCAATCCTCCCCCTGATGCCAGAGCACGGAGCAGATGGAGCAGAACCACTTGCTTCTTGTTGATTTTGCTCAAAGAAATTCCAGAGCAGGCGAGGGATGACAGGACAAGACCAGCAAAGCCCTGGGCTGTCTTGGTAGCCCTGACCTGGCCCTACCGCTGCTCCCTGCAGCAAAAAGACATCAAGCAGGGGAGAGCTGGCAGAGCAAACATGCCAAGGGCAGGAAAGGTCTGTGGCTGCCCTGATCCTTGACTTTCCTCAGAAAACCATCTTTTCCCCAAGAGGAGAGGAACTGCTGAAGCCAAAGGCCTGGAGGGTAAATGAGTGTAAACAAGACATTACTCAAGGGGAGAAATCAACAAACTGGAAACAGTGTCTGAAACTGGGAGGAAGAAGGAGAAGAGTTGCTGCCTGCTCCTTTGCAAGTGAGGAAATGAAACTTCATCCCCTCCGGGGATGGATACACAGTAAAACGGGGTTATGGCATAGTGCTGGTGACAGCTGGGACAGGACACAGGGACAGCAGCCGGATGATGCTGGCAAGGGCTCAGCAGGGCTGTTTTGGCAGATGCCAGGATGGGTGACAGCGCCAGGGAACTGGCACATTGCAGGTCACACCCCCTGGGTAGCAGAGCTACAAACAGTAAGTGGTGAGGCAGGGATTTCTTTCTGTGCACAGGCTGTTTTCCCTGGGGAATGCCCGAGGCAGGGAACAGATCTCTGCCAGTGCAGAGGCACAAGGAGCCTCAGCAGGAACCCACTTCGGGATTGCACCATGGAAAGAAGCTTTCTGGGAAATCTCACTCCTTTCCATTCCTCATCTGTCTCCCTGTGTTTTCTGCCTGCCTGATGAGCACAGTCCCAGGTGCTCCCCGAGCTCTGTGCACTCTTACACAGCCATCTCCCCATCTTCCCTGCCCACAGACAATGCCTTCAACCATCTTGTTCCTCATCTCTGTCTGAGCTCTGCCCCAAGGCAGTCCTTGGGGAGCCCCCTGAGCTCTGCACCTCTGTCCTTGTCCCTGCAGGAACGCCCATGGCTCATGTGTCCTGCACTCTCAGGAGGATGAGGGGATGTCTGTGGGGACTGGGGTGTTTGGAGGCTGCTTGGATTGGAACCAAGCAGTGGAGATGTTGCTGAGCTCTTGACAAGCTTCAACATCTGTTTCCCTAAAGCCTCCTTTCCTTCCTGAGGACAACAGGCATGTAGGAAGGACGGTTTGCAAGGAGCAAAGACAAGACAAAGCTTGATTCACTCTGAAATGAAGCACGAGTCCCTCCATCCCCACCGAGCTGTCAGATCCAGAAGTCCAGATGGAAGCAGGCCTCTCTGCCCCATTTGTCACAGTTTTGCTGGGAGAGAGCCATGGGACATGGGATCCTTCTCCCTTTGCCTCCCCATTTCCCTCATCATTCACATCAGCCTGTTGGAGCATCCCACATAACTGGGGCCTCAATAGCTGCACCCACCCCGCCCACTGTCATCTCTGGGAAGAAATGGTAGCTCTCAGGGACTGACTGAATATCCCTTCTTTCTCTTTGATCTCTTTCTTCCTGTATCCTACCTCTAAGTCCTCACAAAATTAACACTCCTTTAAAATGATCCATTCTCTGTTTCAATTTTCTGATAAACAAAACTCCCCACACCAGTGGGTTACAGCTCAGCAAGGCCCAGCTCTGCAGCTGTGCCAGGAGAATTAAGAAGCCAAAAGAAAAAGCAAACCTCAGTTTCAAAGCTCGAAAGGCACAGCCCAAATAACCTCCTGCATCCACTTCTGGCTCCTTTCAAGAGGGCATCACACAGTAATTGCAGGGCAGCCCAGCACAGCCCTGTAGAGCTGTGTGTGCTCTGTCCCTGTTTCTTCCTGCACTCTGCAGATTTAATTAACACCCTCTGGTTCTGAACATGAAAAGCCACCAAGCCACAGAGTGACACTGCATCCAAGAGGGAAACTGAGGCACAGACAGTCCCTTGTCCCCTCTGTGCTATCCTGCAGCAGGCAAAAGCCGCCGGGTTGTGTTCTGCTGCCACAGAAGGAAGGAGATGAGCAGCCCCTTCTCAGGGTATTGCTGCAGCACATTTTCCAGAGCAGGGATGGCCAGCAAAGACAGAACAGGGTCATGAAGAATGAACCCTCTCCCCTTGGAGAGTAAGCAAATCTTTTGGCAATGGGGATGTAAAAAGGGCTTCTCTCTCTGCTGGGAGCTGCCTACTCAAAGTTGCCCCTTTTTGGTCACCTGGAGATGGCAAGCCTAGAGGATGCATTTCAGAGAGCAGAAGGATGCTTTTTTTTAGACCTCAAGGCCAGGAAGGGCCACACAGACCCACAGGGCACCAAACAGGCCCAGATCTGGATAATTTTGCACAGACAGGTCACAGGGTGGCCTTTCCAAAGCAGCCCTGCTGTGCTTTACCCAGCAGAGCCCACCC